TTTCTAAAGAGATACAACTGGGCTTTCCTTCCCAGATTCCCGTTGATCTCTTTCATTCAAACTATTCAGACATCCTCAAATTCCAACGTTTTACTCTCAAACTTAGAAGAGCAGTCCGTTTAAAGCCCCATTGAATATGAGGGGACTTAACTTTATACTTTGTTTTTACTTACTTCAAATTGTCCCTACTTTTGCCCTACCTTTTGGGGGGGGATAGAAGGAGGAATATTTGACCTGCGCTACAATGCAAGTTTTGGGGTGAAAACAGATTTCAAATTAATTCAGTGATGAAGGAAGGGGAAAGAGGTGGATTTTACCCTCTTTTAAAGAGGAGTCAAAATTGCTACTTTCCTCAGGCATTTTGAAGGCACGAGTACTTTTTTCGATCCTGATAGTACAGTAATAGCAGGAAGACAGATGCCATTTCTTCTACTTAAGAAGTAGAAGAGCACCACTGATTTTTGCTTGTTTTACTCGCTTTGAGCCCCACTGTTCTTTGTGATCCCAGAAAAGTTGGATCGAGCCCACTGGCCTTAAGTTCAGGCCCCACCTGCCACTTTGCTCCGTGGCATTTCTGGGGCTCGGAGGGTCCCACTGGAGTGGGCGGGTTCTAAAACGAGAAACGTGCTTTAAAAATCCTTTCTGCTTCTTCGCTGATTTGGAAACGTTTTCAATTTCCTCGATCGCTTCCGATGGAGCTTTAGTTAAGAACTGAAGTTCAATCCAGAGCTGATGATAGCTCATTGTATTCATTCATTGGAAATGTGTAGTAGCCGCTTGTCACGCCAGAATACTCATGAGGCCTACAATTACAAATTACAAGTGGGGGTGCTTTTGCACACTGGATGTCATGGCTTTTGGAGGTCTCTCTTTGGATCAGACTCCCCATTAATTCACCCACTTCGGCGGACAACAAGGCAGCCTTGCTACATTTGGAAAACCTCCTGCTGAGTGGGACCCTGGACATCTGACCAGAGGTTCTGCCCTAAGCCCTTCCTCTTCCCATCCACTTCCAATATTTCAATATATTAAAATATGAAGGTGCCTTGGAATCGAGTTGATAGACCTGAACACCTGCATACCTCTAATAAGCATACTTGTAAATAATCATAATATAGATTTCTCCACCTGTTCCAGACATGGTTTGCCGTTTGACTAGAGTCCTGAGACACCCTGGCGATCTCCCATCCAAGTGCTCATGATCATCACGCTGGCTTCTATTTAGCTATTCTTCTTCAGAATGCCATGTTTGCCTACTTATCCCCAGGAACAGCTTGGTGCAAGCGCGGGATGGAAGCCCTCTACAAACCCTCTCTGTGAGACCAAGAAACCGAATCAAACCCAAAAGAAGGGGAGCTTTTTTTAAGGATCCTAAGCCCCAGGTTCAAGGGCTCCATTAACCCTTCCTGGTCAAGGGGTCCTTCTCGCCCCTCCCTTGGAGAGAATGCAGCTCCAGCAGACTTCGGCTGCCTCGGCAGTTCTCTTAACTTGCCTGGGCGGCTGGCTTTCGTGGCAAGCGAGCTGGGGTACCCCCATCTCCTTTTCCCCCCTACCCCCAACGGCAGAGGCCCTCACCCTGCCGCTCGACCTGATTGGGACCATATGTTTGGCCCATTCATCCCCTTTCAAGCTATTCTCCGGGGCGCAAACGGCGACCACGTTCGAGTCACCTTGAAATTGCCTCCTCTCTTATTACGCAGCTTTTCCTTTCCCAATTAAAAGCTTAACAGCCCTGGTAACGGAGTTCATGTGGCGAAGTTTACCCTGGGCCCCGCTTCTGAAAAGCCTTCTGCTGGGATCCCATTATGTGCTTGAATAAACCTTTTCTGCCCCAAGCAATGGGACCGGTTCTCGTCAGGTGTTGAGTTACAATAGGCTCTCAGGCAGGGGACGTGGCACTCACAGAAATGCCGACCCGGACCTGTGGGGAGATGGTGTCAAATACGGGGTTGTGGAGCGGCGCGGAGAATTGGCGGGGGG